GAAAAAAATATAAATATAATTCTCAGTAGCTCTGTAAGGTAATCCATACGTGCGTACACAGTGCCCCATTGTGCTCTGGAAGGTAGAGTCACCATCCTTATATCTATGATCAGACATTCCTGAAAAACAATAATTGAAGTTTCTTCCAAATCTATCTGACTCACATCCATAGCCATCATTATAACCATTATAATCATTATAGCCACCATAGCTTCCACCATAAGGACCACATCTCATCGTCTCAAAGCCAGCTCATCTGCTTATGCTGTTATACCCTTTGCCAGCACCAGGTCTGTCATAGGGACCTGACCAATGCATAGCCATAAATTTTTATAAGTTCTAACTTCAGCTCTATTGCTCTGAAATATTTTTATATACAGGTACCCTATTCTTTCCTTGTGTTTCTCTAGAACATTTTCAGCTATTTCCTGTAAAGCATATGGCCTCTCCGGTACTCCTTTCCTGGAAATCCACCCTCAGTGCTATGCCATTTGGCACGATTTCCAACCGTGAGAAGGACTGAACAATTTCTTCCTTGCTTCGTCCAAAGGGGAGTACAAAGCCGTCATTGGCCACATCAGAACTATCTGGACCACTATGCTTCAACACCCAGTGCATTTCAATGTTGTCTGACTTGAATACTGAAACATACCTGTGTCCCATACTTTCTTTGTCTTTTTTCAGGGTCAATTTGACCTCATACTCTCAAGTTCAGCAAAAGTCCTATCACTTGGTCTGCCTTCTCTGGTGTAGATGAAATGAATACATCGAGCCCTATTTTAAATTTTGCACTCAGAAAAAAATCCACTGCATTTTATTGGCTGAGCAAGACCAGCGCAATCCCTGGACCTTCACTATGAATCCCTCTCCACCTTCAGTGCCCAACATCATCATCTCTTACAGGATCTAACATTGAAACAGACTAGACACCTGACTTCAATGTGACTGGGAAGAAAATCTCCTTTTTTTTCTTTTCTGTGTGTTCATGTTCATGTCTGTTGCTTTCATGGTAACCTAACTTTTATCTACGGTTTGTTTAATTCATCTTTAATAGAAACTGCTTTAGTCCATGTGTTTCTTTAATTTTAATTTTATTTTAGATTCCAGGAGACATGTGCAGAACATGGACGTTTGCTACCTAGGCAAATGTGTGCCATGATCGTTTACTGCACAGACTAATGGCAGACCTCTCAGCCAGGAGACAGTGGGGACCAACATTTAACATTCTCAAAGAAAACAAATTTTAACCTGTGTGGTTTATTTCTTATTTTCTCAGCTTGTCTTTGAGCCTTCAAATACCCATTTCAGCACCTATGATTTTCTCTTATTATGGATATTTAAAACCCAAGAAAGATAATTTAAAAACTAAATGAATGAGAACATATCACATATTTGTTTAGGTCTGGTTGAAATGTTATGTATTGTAGGATCTGGATGTGATATGAATGTATATTTTATTGGTTTTAATTTAAATTGACAAAAACATGCTCATTATTGTTAAGAAGTCAAACAATTCACAAATCAAGGAAACAGTTAAAGTGCCCTTTGACTCTCTTGGATTATCAGCCTCATACTCCCCCCCACTTATTTACCAAGGAAATATTTTTGCTGATCCGGCATACCTTGTAAATTTTTGTAGACATTTACGTACACACATATACACATAAAGAGTGTTTTATCTTTTATTTTGAATAAGTGACACAAAAAGTCATAGTCTCTATATATTTTCGACCTACTTCTTTTCCATGAACCTTTTTCATATTAATACTTCATCTTAGCTGGGTGCAGTGTCTCAACTTTGGGAGGTTGAGGTGGGCAGATCACCTGACGTCAGGAGTTAGAGACCAGCCTGGCCAACATGGTGAAACCCTGACTCTACTAAAAATACAAAAATTAGCTGGGGATGGTGGCACTTGCCTGTAATTCCAGCTACTCAGGAGGCTGAGGCAGAAGAATCCTTTGAACCCAGGAGGCGGAGGTTGCAGTGAACTGAGGTCAAGCCACAGCACTCTAGCCTGGGCAACAAGAGCAAGACTCCATCAAAAAACAAAAAAAACAAAAAACAAAAAACAAAAACTTCATCTTATTGACCATTTCCATAAAGTTAAATAGCATATGTATAGTATGACTCATTTTATTTTTGAGTTCATCTTTACAAATGAATAATCATGTTATTAAGAGCCCTGTAGACATTCATGTGGATTTCTTCATATTCCCCTAGTATCTAGCCATTTATTTCACCTTTTCCCATTTTCTCTCTTATCTCTTTATTCATGTCAGTACTGCAGGTAGGAGACTTCCTAGGATAGCATCAATTTTCTTGGAATATAGTGACTCATATATCTATAAAATGAGCACTTATTCTTTCCCAAGAATATCTTTAAGATGTCTTCACTTTGTAAGTAAGTTTTTAATTATTTCTCAAACCATTCTCTAGGCCTGCACTATATTCTTTTCAACTGTGTGACAATTCGTCTAATTTGGGACTGTTGGTCCATCTTTTTTGTTTTCCAAAATTAAGTAAACAGTAAATAGAAGCAGAAGTAAATTCAAACGTAGGACCACTTTTAGGCTGTCCGCATGATATAAACAGCTAGATGGAAATGATAAACCTTTCAGTCTCCAACTGAGAGTGGTGGCTCAGACAGTAATATATAAAGTGCACTAAGAGAAGGCATAACTACATGCTGTGGATGTGCAAAGGAGGTCTTAATTCTGCTTGGAGCACTCAGAGAATGCTTTAGAGAAGTAACAATTTATCTGAGCCTTTAAGGAAGAATTTTCCAAGAGGGCTAGAGGAAAAGGGTATTCTGGGGAGAGGAGAGAATGTTAAAGAGGGCATAGCGGAATGAAAGTTTATGTTATGTTCACAAAAGAGCAAGTAATTCAGCCACTGTGAATAGAGAGTGTATGTTGGGGCCAAACTGACAAGGACTAAGGGATAGGTAGGGTCAGATGATGCAGCATAGACTATGTTGAAAAATGTAGACATTATTTTGATAGTGATGGAAAGCCATGGGAACATTTTATACGAGGGCTTGGAAAAACGAAGCCTGTGGATTAGAACAAGAGTCAGGACACATTTTAGGCTTTGTAGGCCACATATAGTCTTCACTGCATATGCCTCGTTTTCTTCTTTGCCTCACTTTCTCCTCTACCTTTGCCTTTTCTTCTACCTCCTTTCTGTCCTCCACCTCCTTCTTTCTTTACAACTCTTTAAATAGGGAGAAACTCTATCTATCTCAAGGGCCATGTGAAAACAGGAAAAGGGCTGGATTTTGACCTTGGGCTGTAGTTTGAGGGCTCCTATTTTAGAAGATAGTGGCTCAAAAGTTTGAGGTAATTGTAGACATTGTTCAGTTTCTGTCTCCTTGGACCTTTAGGGCTGGTGGGGGGGGGGGGTGGCGACTGAGGTGATTCTAGATCTGCCTGGCAATGCTTTCCCTGCATAAGCCTGGACATAGTGTAGGTTAGGGCAGTGCTTCTTTCTTTGGGTATAACTCATAGCAAAAGCAGCATCCTTAAGGTTTGCAGCTAGCTCCAGAGTCAATACAAAGGTAGGCTGAGATTGTATGAAATGGTTTAAAGACTAGGCCGGGCGCGGTGGCTCAAGCCTGTAATCCCAGCACTTTGGGAGGCCGAGGCGGGTGGATCACAAGGTCAAGAGATCAAGACCATCCTGGTCAACATGGTGAAACCCCGTCTCTACTAAAAAACTACAAAAAATTAGCTGGGCATGGTGGCGCGTGCCTGTAGTCCCAGCTACTCAGGAGGCTGGGGCAGGAGAATTGCCTGAACCCAGGAGGCGGAGGTTGCGGTGAGCCGAGATCGCGCCATTGCACTCCAGCCTGGGTAACAAGAGCGAAACTCCGTCTCAAAAAAAAAAATAAATAAAGACTGCAGAAGGAAAAAAAATAATGAAGCTCCAGGCTTACAGGAACTCCATGAGTTACAAAGTTTTTATATGAAACTCATGACCTGGGTGTGGGTGAGCTGGAAGCAGTTAAAAAGATAGATGCAGAGCAAACAGTTACAGGCTACCCAATGTCCAGTTGCCTAGATTCTCATATAAAACCATGCTTATGAAAAGTATTTTTAAAACCTTTTCTTTTAAAACATTTTAGTTTTAGGTTTGATGGTAAATGTGAAGCTTTGTTACATAGATAAACACATCATGGGGATTTGTTGTACCTATTATTACATCACCCCCGTAGTAAGCTTAGTACCCAATAGTTATCTTTTCTGCTCCTTTCCATCGTCCCACCTTCTCCTTCAAATAAACACCAGTGTCTGTTGTTTCCTTCTCTATGTTCCTAGGTTCTTCTCATTTAGCTCCCCACTTATAATTGAGAACATGCAGTATTTGGTTTTCTGTTCCTACGTTAATTTACTTTGAATGATAGCTTCCAGCTAGATCCATGTTTCAGCAAAAAACCTGATCTTTTTCATTTTTATGGCTGCATAATATTCCGTGATATATATGTACCACATATTCTCTGTCCAGTCTGTCACTGATGGGCATTTAGGTTGATCTCATGTCTTTGCTATTGTGAACAGTACTGCAATGAACATTCACATGCATGTGTCTTTACACAGAATGATTTATACTTATCTGATATATACCCATTAATGGGATTGCTGGGTCAAATGGTAGCTCTGCTTTTAGTTCTTCAAGGAATCGCCCTACTGACTTCCACAATGGTTGAACTAATTTAGAATCCCACAACAATGTATAAGGGATTCCTTTTCTCTGAGGCCTTTGCCAGCATCAATTTTTTTTTTTTTTTTTTTTTTTTTTTTTTTACTTTTTAATGTAGCCATTCTGACTGGTGCGAGATGGTATCTTGTGATTTTGATTTGCATTTCTCTAATGATCAGTGATATTGAGCTTTTCTTCATAGACTTGTTGGCAGCATGTATGTCTTCTTCAAAAAAGTGTTTGTTCATGTCCTTCGCCCACTTTTTAATGGGGTTATTTTTCTCTTGTAAACTTTTTAAAGTTTCTGATAGATGCTGGATATTAGACCTTCATCAGATGCATAGTTTGAAAATACTTTCTCTCATTGTGTAGGTTGTCAGTTTACTCTGTTTATAGTTTATTTTGCTGTGCAGAATACCTAGTTTTATCAGATTCTATTTGTAAATTTTGCTTTTGTTGTGATTGCTTTTGGTGTCTTTGTCAAGAAATGTTTTCCCATTCCTAGGACCAAGATGGTATTGCCTAGGTTGTCTTCTACGGTTTTTATAGTTTTTGGTTTTACATTTAAGTCTTTAATCCATTTTGAGTCAATTTTTGTATATGGTGTATGGAAGGCATTCAGTTTCAGTCTTCTGCATATGGCTAGCCAGTTATCCCAGCACCAAGGGAATCTTCATCATTGCTTGTTTTTGTCAGCTTTGTCAAAGATCAGATGGTCGTAGACGTGTTGCCTTATTTCTGGGCTCTCTATTCTGTTCCATTAGCCTATGTGCCTGTTTTTGTACCAGTACCATGCTGTTTTGGTCATAATAGCCCATATCCCAGGAAACATATATCTTTTAAGTTTCAATTGCCAAAGTAAACATTTACCATTTACCTTTCATACTTCCTCCTCTAAACTTAAATGTCTTGACCAGTCTTCTGCTCTGCATTTTGAGGTTTTATATGCAATTGGTTGCATTATCACCTTCTGGGAGTTTTCAAGAGCTCAGAAACCATGACAAATTCTCTGAGGAGAAAAAATGCAAGTCTATAAATTCATGAATTAAGCAATTTAGTCTCTTTTATAACAAAGAGACCTTTGGTTTTCATGCATGATGTGTTAGAAAAAGATAACAGAGGAATGTCATTCAACGGTAATCTGCACATTTCATTTTTACCCTAATTGTGTGCAAATGAAAAGGGCCTCTAAACATTCCAAAGGGCTTTTCACTGCTCATTAACAACATATAAATGCATGGGCAGTGGTTTGCCCCAGAAAATTGCCTTGAAGGTGACTTGAACGCATAGCCTCTGATTAAAGGGCAGACCTTTCCTCCTGGCCGCATCAATTCTTTGGCTCTTCGTTGTTAGAATTGCTAATAATTATGAAATTTATTACAAGCTACGATCATGTTTAGGTCATAGCCTGGGCACGAGAGTCAAAGTAAAAAGAGTACTGCTATGTGGTTCAGTGTGTGTGACCTCAAATCACATTTAAATGGTACAGCCCTAGCCTTTCAGAGATCAGATTACAGAGAGCTCTGCTTTTTCCTCACACATGTGCCCTTTTCTTCAGCTTCATCAAACTATTGGAGGCCCTCGAATGTTTTAGTTTTTTATTTTATGTTTTGCCTCTAATCATTGTGTCTTCTCTCATTCTGAAACCTTTTTTCTTAAAAATATGTAAAAAGTTTTTGAGTATTCTTATACTTTTAAAAATCTATATTGACATTTAAAACTAAATTAAATGTATGATACATAGAAAATGTGTGCTCTTTGTGTAATATGTTTAAACAACACAGAAATATCCAGAACCAAAGGTGAGATCGCCTCTTTATCAATGCTACTCTGTCTCATATATAATTTTTTTGAGATCTTTTGTTATTTTATACTACTATGCAGCATATTTTAAAAAATGCATAAGTACTAAAAATAAATATGTATCTATGGTTTTTGGATTTTCTTTGCAGTCTAACCTTCTAGGTTTGCACTCCTAAATATATACTTTAGATTAAACAGATTTTGCACTTGATTTAAATAGAATAGTGTATAATGTGTCTTGGTTTATTCACCTTCCATTTGGTTTGTGATGATTCATTGATGTTGATAGGTGGCTGTGGATTGTGTAGTATTCTACTGTGTGCATAAGAAGAAAAAAAGGAAGGAGAGTAGGAGAGGGGAAAGGAAGAAGGGCAAGGGAAGGAATGGGTACAATTAATATTTGAATATTGATTTTTTTCCCACAAATTTGCTACACTCTCTTTAATCCAAATAATTTATTTGCAGATTTGTTAGGATTCTCAAAACATAAAAATGTTACAATTTTTTTCTACCATCTTCATTCCTCTTATCTTTTTGATTGCTTTCTGAACTGGCTGGAACATCCAGTACAATGTTGAATGTAGTTGATAATATCAGGCATCTTTGTTTTAATCATGTTCTCAAAGGGTTAGCAGTTCAATGTTTCGTGGATAGGCCTATATATACTTTGGTTGTTTGCACATCCCTTTGTCAGATGACAAGGATTTTTCTTAAACTTTCAATTTCTTAAAATATTGTTATTTAAAATAACAAATTGATATTGAATTCTACCAAATGTTAAAAAGCTACTGCAATCATGTATTTTAAATCTGTTTATCTGTTAATATGTTGATTTACATTATTTGAGTCTCTAATTATAGAACAACTGTGCATTTATGTGATAAAGTCAATTTAGTTACAATGTATTATCCTTTGTTTATATTACTTTATTCACTTTGGTAATACTTTGCTTATGATTTTTATATGGTGCTGAGTGACACTGACAATGGACTTTATTATTATTATATTTTTATGTCTACATTCTTTGAGATTATTTGCTGTTTTTTTTCCTTATACACTGTTTCCCAAAGTAGCTGTACCATTTTAAATTTCCACTAACAATGCACAATATTTAAATTTTCTCATACCCCACCAATAGCTAAGATCTGTATTTTTGTTATAGCCATCCTAGTGGATATGAAGTTTGTGATCTGAATTGTATTTTACTGATGGCAAATGATGTTAAGCATTTTTTTTGTGTGGGCTTATTGACCATTTTTATATCATTTTAGAGACATGTCTATTCAAATCATTTGCCCATTTAAAAAATGGGGTTATTTGCCTTTTGATTATTGAGTTGTAAAATTTTAGAATATATTCTATATATTAGGTCCTTTTAAAGTATATGATTAATTTTTTTTTCATATCCTATGGGTTTTCTTTTCTTTCGTGGTGGTATCCTATAAGGTACAAAACCTTTGTATTTTGATGAAGTTTCATTTATGTATTTGTTCTTAGGTTGTTTGTACTTTAGTTGCCATAGCTAAGAAGTCATTGCCTAAGCAGCATCATGAATATTTACACCTATATTTTTTTCAAAGTGTTTATAGTTTTGACTATTACATATAGGTCCCTTCTATCCATTTCAAGTTAATTTTGTTTATACTGTGAAGTAGGGGTTCAAATTTGTTCTTTTCCTTGGTCATTGCAAAGGTCTTCCCAGAATTAAAAAGAGTGAACATAGCCCCAAACTTTTAATGGCAGAGTGTGAGTCTAATGTTGTAAGAGGAACATGCAGGATGAGATCATTATTGGTGCTGTCATTTTTGTAAAATACAATGCATCCTACCTAGGGTGGTTGAATAGTCTGGGAGCTGGTCCATGAATAGCAACTGTAAACAAAATTGTATCTATGTTCATTCTTTTGAAAAGAATGTGAATACTTTAATGAAAGTCATAATGGAGTCCATTGGCCAATTTTTTTTAAAAACTTAAACTCTAAGATCTTTAAGATTTAAATGACTGATTATTCAATGCCAACTCTTCAAATAGTAAGGATTGAATAATAAAAGTGATCCCAAAACTAATTTATAAGAATAAAGGCTTTCAAGTAAATTTTCAGTCCTCAGCTAGTTGGGTATAGACTGTTGATAAAACAGAGCAGGAGAGGCCCTTGATCTCTCCCTTTATATCAACAACAGGTAGATTATTATTAACAACATGGTATGCACATTTCATAGCTCAGATTTTGCCTAATTCACTCTTTAACACGTTTTACTGTTAAATCTCTAAATTGTCTATTATCCATCAAATTTTGAATTGATGTAAAATATCCAGAAAATGAGCCCTGTATTATATATTTTGAGTCCTTTCATAGTGGTGCCTCGAGCCAAACATCAGTTCAACTTGAGTAGTGTTGCAATTCTTGCTGAACATCCAGGTTTATTGTACAGTTATTTCCATTTTTATATTTATTTTATCCTGTCTGTATTAGCTAGTAACATGAGAGGAAGACAGAAAATCATACATGCTGTTCCACAGGTCTCATAACCTTAATACAGGCATAACTTAGAGATATTGCAGGTTGAGTTTCAGACCATCACAATAAAGTAAATATCAAAATAAAGTGAGTAACACAAACATTTTGTTTTCCCGGTGCATATAAAAATTGTGTTTGCAATACATTGTGGCCTGTTAGGTGTACACACACATTACATTTGTTCCATGAATCCATTGTTCCTGTATGCACAGGCAGAATGGATTTAGCATAACTCTTAAGTGCCCTAAGATTTTTGGAATGATAAATAAGCCTTGGCTTCCACTAAAGTCAGAAGCTATATTAATGCCTATCAAGAGAGTCATCCTGTCCTTTGACATGGTGAAGGTAAGTATTGACTTCTCCTCTTTAACTATTAAAGTCATAGAGGGCATCTTCTTCCAGTAGAAGGCTGTTTTGTTTCTACTGAGAATATTTTGTTTTGTGTAGCTACCTTCATCAATTATCTTAGCTAGCTTTTCAGGATATCTTGCTGCCCAACTTTTATCAGCACTTGCTGCTTTTTTGTTATGGAGATAGCTTCTTTCTTTACACCCCATTCTGGCTTCAGACTTTTCCTCTGCAGCTTTCTCACCTATGTCAGCCTTCATAGACTTGAAGATAGTAAGGGCTTTGCTCTGCATTATTCTTTGGCTTAAGGGAATCATGTGGTTGCTTTGATTTTCTACACAGACCACTAAAACTTCCTCCATGTCAACAAAACGGGAATAGTGCTTTTAGTGTCCTTCAAGAACTTTTCATTTGCATTCACAACTTGGATAATTGTTTGGCACAAGAGGCCTTTCAGCCTATCTAAGATTTTGGCATGCCTTGCTTACTAAACTTGATCGTTTCTAGGTTTTGATTTAAAGTGGGAGACATGTGATTCCTCCTTTTATTTGAACACTTAGAGGTCATTGTAGGGTTATTAGTTGGCCTAATTTCAATATTGCTGTGTCTCAGGGAATGAGGCAGTCAGAGGAGAGGAAAAGAGATGAAGTGGAGCAGTGAGAATACTCAGAAAATGTATCTATTAAGTTTGCCATCTTATATGGCTATGGTTTGTGGTACACTGAAACAGCTATAATA